GTTGCTATAGAAGCAGCTCGTTGCTATAGAAGCAGCTTGTTGCTATAGAAGCAGCTCGTTGCTATAGAAGCAGCTTGTTGCTATAGAAGCAGCTCATTGCTATAGTAATAGTCTGTTGCTATAGAAGCAGCTTGTTGCTATAGAAGCTGCTAATTGACAGAGTGGTGGATCCAAGCAAACAGTAGAAAGTTGAGTGGAAGGAAAAAGTGCCGCCTTCACAGGTTTGTTTAGCAGAATTCATTAAGAATTTGTAGCAGCTGGAGTCAGAACATCCAGATCCACTTTACACAGGCAGGGCCTGCATGTAGAACCAGAACCAGAACCAGGCTGTTGCTCAGTTGCCTAAGTCCTCCTATCAGATGAAAGTTAGGTTTCAATAGGTGTGGAAATCAAGGACCACCAGAATCAAAGATTCATGGAGGCCCTGATTTCGACCCACAAGCTGGACCAGTGACATGGTGGTTCTGGTTCTGACCGGAATCCTTCAGAGGATCTAAGGAGGCAAGAGGAAGATGAGAGACACCAGAAGCAACAATGGAGATGAGAAAGCAACCTGGGCTTCCATCAGACCTCAGCAGACCTGGTTCTGAGAGCATGGCGGTACTGCTCAGCACTCAATGTTTCCTGAAAGGAGTCAAACATAAGAGCAAACTCCCGGCGATGCTTCAGCTGCGCATCAGGTCCAAACTCACCTCCAAGCCAGCGTCTGTGATGGTGGACCTCTTGAGGCTGAGATAACGGACGCCCTTCTTGGACAGCGGGTAGTTGTCAATAAACTCGCAGATGTCGAGGTCCGAAACGCCGACCAGGCAGAAGGACTGGAAGCCGCGCAGAGCAAAGGCCTGCAGGCTGACAAACTCCTTCTCTCCGTTGGGGAGGATGTTGTAAAGCTCCTTGGCGTGCAAGATGGGCGTCACACCCTCCCAGAACTTGGGCTGGTACAGCACCTTCCGCCACGTCTTGCACACCTGAGCCAGCACACATTTCTCGGCGGTGGTGAAGTACCACAGCAGGCGGTTGAGGAGCTTCTCGTCCAGGACCAGCTGCCGCTCCAGCAGCACAGGTTTAGGCAAAGTGATCGGGGGAAGGTGACGGAGAGACGGCTTCAGTCCCACCAGAGGTTTCCCCGGCTCCAGGTCGGAGGGCAGCAGGGGGGGGGCGGCGTGCGGCAGGCCGGAGCCGTCCAGATGGTGCAGGTGGTGGTGGTAGGGGAGGGAGGACGGTGGAGGAGGCAGGATGGAGGGGACGGAGGAGGACTGGCATAGGCGGTTCTTAGCGGCCGGCGTCCCTTTGGTGATGCTGGCGCTGCCCAGTCCGTTAGGCTGGCTGGGGGGCAGCTTCACCATTCCATTGCGAGTCATGCAGGGAGACTTCAGCTCACTGGGGGTGGACATGTTCAACATGGGGAACCTGGGGGGTGGAAGCAGAGACAGGGAGTTTAGATTCTTCCTGGTGGGGATGCAGACTGGAGTGTTAATGGTAAACTGGTCTCTGTGGCTGGTTCTCCTGTCATGGATTAAGCCCCTCCCACTTTATCAGGCTGGGATTTAGGTTGGATTAGTTATGCAGATAAAAAGTCTTTTTCAATCAACCAATGCATATTTTTTCCAATGGTAAGTTTTAAGTGCGTACAGAAATTTACTAAATGACATTTCTGGGCTGCACTAAGTAACTGGTGATCATTTAAAGGCTTTTACTGGTGAATTAGTGAACAGATCTGATCTAGTTAAGCTGGAGTTCAGGATTTATGTCAGCTGGTTCAGCTGCAGGAGGCCGAGGCGTCTCATAGGGCTGCCTGCCTCTAAGGTTAGCCGTCCCTACTTTACTACTTTATCTATTGGTCAGAAGTGACAGTATTTTAAAGCGAGGTTAGTCCCTCAATATGGCCGACCGTGTGACCAACGCATCAGAGTCAGTTTTTCAATGAACGGGACTTTTTGCTCCATCTTAATGAGGAATAGATGTTAAAACGATCCTGTTCTGATAAAGACCACATTCTGGGATCTATATGATTAAAATATTTTCACACGCTTTGACTTCTCTGTTCATCAGTCTGGGGGGGAAACGCTGTGCGGCGGCTGGTTGTTGCAGCTGGCGCTCTGCACAGCCAACCGTCTTTATTTAAAATAGATTCATTTAAAATGATTTATGAGATTTGCTGAGATGCAAACTAATAAACAGAAATAATGACTGATGTCAGAGATATCGAATAAATCTTCTAATTGCTTACCATACCTGAATGACATCATCATAACGGAGGTCTAACTACTAATGCTGAAGGATTTTGCTAATAAATCTAAATTGTGATTATTTTAAATTAATATTGTGGTTTTCCTTTGCACTAAGAACAACCATGTGGATGTTTTACTCCAGCTTTTTCATGACCTACTTGTCCAGAATCCAGCGCTGCAGGATTTTACTGTAACATCTGCATGAAACAGTTCTTACTTCTACTATAATGCATAGATCTAGGTGCTGCAACTCTCTGTTCCCGTCTGAGTGGCAGCATGCCCACTTTAATCATATTGCCGCCACCTAAGGGAGGAATTTAGTGTCCTACTCTTGTTAAATGTATTGTGAGTAAAACTGAGCGCCTCTGCGGTTTGAAAATGATATTTTTCTAAATTGCAATTATTTTGCAAAACCAATTGAAGGTTCAGTGGAAAGTTATACCATCTGACCACATAAACTCTAACATACACTCTGAAAAACATAGAAACATATAATATGTTGATCCGAACAAAACGTTTCCCCAGGCCCTGTGGGAGGGCGGGGCTTAATGTGTGCGAGGGCGGGGCTTACCGTCTGTAATTTCCTTATGGGAATCATTGATCATGTTCTGCTTCGTGTTTTTAAACTTTTAATTAACTCTTTTTATCAGACAAAAAAATATTGAATTTGAACTAAAACAGAAATAATAAATATTTAAATAAAAAGGGAACAAGCTGCCAAGAATCTGACAAATTATTTTATAACAATGATTTAGTTTTCCTCATACTGGTTGGTTTGACTAACTTCATGGGCTTAAAGTTAGCCGGATCACTGAAGACGCTGTCGCTGAAAACTAGAAATACTAGAGATAGAGCGACTGAGGGTGGACATAGATTGATCTTCTTTAGCAGCCATTGATGGGATCAGATGAAGAGATGCTGAAGCGTTTCCTCCGTCTGCTTCCATTCTTTATGTTTTATTTCATTTAATTTGGTCTAAATGGAGACTTTTCTAGAATTTTACATCACTTTTCATTTTAGGCTGTAGATCCGGGAAGAAAGACCAACTTCACCAAAAACACATCAGTTATAATGACGGCCTTTAACAACCGATTGTTTACTTTTAACACTTTTTAATGGCCTTTGCAGCTCCGGGTCGCATGGAGGGAATGTAAACCATCAGTAAAAGATGGCGGCCGGCTGGGAGCTCTAACCGTCGTAGATCGCGTTGCCTCGTCTCGCTCCTGAAGCCTTTTCTAGAAATAAAGGTGTGTTTTCTGAATGGCCAGCGGTCAGCTGAACGGCTGGTTCAGGCAGCGTGGCCAGCCTGGTTCCCAGCAGTCAGTCAGGTGGCTTTAATGAGTTTCATTTAGAACTGGGAGAACTGGTTTGGCTTCATAATGGGACCATGCGATTCAACCTTAAAGTGGAGAAGATGAATCCATCAGCAGCCACAGAAAACCAGCAGATATTTAACCATAAACTAACAGAAGTTTGGAGGAGAAGAACTGGAAGCTGAAGGCGAGAAACTTTCAGACATTTACTCCTCGGCTTCATCAGATTAATCCATTACTGACATCATCAGCTAGTTTAGTCAGTGATTAATTGTTAACTGGAGTTAATCGATTTGCAAAATAATCGTTAGCGGCCCTAACTTCCTCCCATTCTAACTTCCAGTGTTTTTCTCTGCCTTAAAGTCGTAGAGAAGCGGCTGTTCCAAACGTTGCATTTCCAAATTCTCCCAGTGGTGCCCGACTTTACACGAGTGAATAAAGTGAATGTGATTGGTCGATTATCAAGGGGGCGGGATTGTTGTGGCAGAAGGTTCACAAGCAGTTTGGTTGTGGCCGGTTTGGCGGAAGCATCTTGCTAACCAGTTAGCATCTTAGTGCTAGCAGGTTCCCAATGGGAAATTCCATTGGGACCAAGTAGCACTAAATTGGTGACTTAGAAACGACGCTGTCAAGGAACGCTATGGACAGCGGAAACATGCAAGAGGAGGAGAGTTTAGTGTCGGAGGTCGTGGATGAGTCTCCTCCGTCATCCATTTTTTATTTAGAGGAGGAAAGCGGGGACGAAGATGTTGTGGAAGAGGACGCCAGGGCGGCAGAAGCTTGGTTTGGTGTAGAAGGCTTCCAGCCGTACATGTTTGAGCCCTTGCCTCGCAACGCTGCCAGTTCTGTTAGCTCTACGCCTGCCGAAGACACAGACGTCCATCCCCGTGAACACTGGGACGCAACTCAATGGGAAAGGAAAGGATTCTGGTTTCAACTGTTGGGTATATTAGCTGCGACACATGAATCAAGATGCTATGACCGAAAACATTTGATTGACAGATGACCGTTGATATATGATTGGCCGAATTTAGGTGTTTGACCTTAAAGGACGGGACGGCGTAGAGCGAACACTGCCCTCTGGTGGTAACATGATCTGTTGTCTAAAACCTTAACCTCTACATGAGATCCTGTGATGGACTGTTTCCTGACCGAAGGAGAACTGGTTTAGATGGCTGATGGGTGGATTCCAGCTTCAGGTGCTTTCATTAAAACTCAGTAAAAATGAAAGAAAAGCTGCGTTTCAAGTTGTTTTCTATAAAAGTCCTCATTAAAGCAGAAAACTGATGCATTTTATTAGTTCTTACAAGCAGAGTGAGAACAAAGGAGTCAAAGGGCTGAAAGCATCATCAGCTGCTGAATGCTGAGCCTTTCTTTTGTCTCTTTCAGCAGAGCAGAACAAAGCATTGGATGGAAAAGACAACATGGTGTGAATGAATGCTGGCCTCATCCAGCCTGTTCTCTGTGACCTCACAGGCTGCTCTGTTATGTAACCTGCTGACTACAGACCTCCACACACAGGGAGCTATCTGCTACATGCAGCTAATCATTCAGGGTATTCAGGAACTATTCAATCATCTGCCATGATTCCTGTTCTGTGCTGCTGATGGAGACCGGCTCTGGATCCACTGTAGCACAAACTTACATAATGCAGCGGCTGGAGCTGCTACAGCAACTCCCTGAAAGGCTGAAACCAACCAACGCGACGTCAGACTCGCCCAGGAAGGACAACCTGCACCAGGCTGCCCAGAAAATGACTCCGCTCTCTTTCTCTTTCTCTGTGGATTGTTCATTCCCAGCTAGAGCTGTTATTGCAGGTCTGTTTCTGTTATGTCAGAGCAGCGGCCCGTCAGAGAGTGGGAGGCAGGAACAAACACAGCATCTGTGGCCTCAATCGACAGCCTTTAATCAGCACAATAAAACACAGAAATATTTCAGTTTAAAATCCAAACAGAGTCACTCAGACCTCACATCCAATAAAGACTGAAAGGAGGAAGGCTGTGGGTGTCCCTGAACGCCTCGTCTGCCACATTTCCTCCATGATGGATTCATTAAACTCCTCATCATCACCGGACGGTTTCTGACCAAAGGTCAGTTTTCAGTTCAGGACAGTTCTACTGTTTCTAAAACACCGGCAACATTTCTATAATACAGGTTGGTCTTTCTAACAAGATGTTCTTAAAATCAGGGAAACTAAACCAACATGTCACTGAAATACTGTCTGTCCTTTCAGTTCAATTCTATTCAGTTTATTTCTATAGCTCCAATTCACATCATGTCCCTTTATAGATCCAGTTCACCAGATCATCCAGTCAGATTGATTCAAAGTTTTCTATCTATGGAAAACCACCTGATTG